GACAATTATAACCCATCCATTCTTTATTAATGCGTCAATCCTAGATACCGCAAATATAATGAAACATTAAACTCTAATAAAACTATTACCACGTTTACCTACAAAAAAATATTAATATTCGAATCCCACTGGTGACGTTTTGGAGTTAAATCTGTGTTCGGTAATTGTGGCTTCTGATCGGTTTGGTTTAAAACCTGTAATCCTGGTTCCACCATCTTGAATGGGAGCTTGCGGGCGCAATGATGTACTGGTACTACGTCGCAAATCCAGGAAACTGGAAAAAACCCACAAGAACCCGTTTGGCAAGTCCCAAGTTAGGAGGTAGTGAAAATCGGTCCATATAAGTATAGGCCAAAAAAGAAGGCTGGTACTACAATCGGAATGAACCTAATAAGGGCAGGTAGCTTCGATTACTAAATCCAGCAATAACTACATGCTTGGGACATGGAAAGTTGTTCAGTAGGCAGTTGGTACGAGGGTAAAGTAGCCTTTAGGCCGTCGAAATAAAAGGGTTGGGCCTGGTACATCTGCAATATGTAGTGAATCGGGTTAGTAATAGGAGGATCATAAGTTAGAGGGTTTAAATAGGCAACTTCTGTAGTTGGGTTGTAGGTATGGCAACTAGTGTAGAACCTTTGGGCGGACTACTTAAATTAGGCACCAAAAGTGCACATGTGGCTAGTTGTATCCTCGCTCATGTAACAAATATTACGTTGACTTATAATAAAAAATTGGCCATAGTACCCGGCCTTTAAACGAGAAAAAAAAAATATTAATATCAGTCAAAGGCAATACAACTTTCATATTAATTTGTTGAATATTGTTCAACAATTTATTATCTTACGTATATCACATTTTCAGCTTACCATTCGCGTTAGATTCAACACAAATTTTTTATTTTTTATTTTTTTTTATCTTTATTATGAAAAATAAACACCCGATTAAATAGCTTGGTATTTTTCTTTTTTTGGAAGTCTTACAGACTTATGATGCCATTGCACAAACAATAATTCTGGTTATTTCCAATTTTATAAAATTCATAAAAAAATATAAATACTTTCAACTCGCGTTCTTGTTTTCTCAAAAAAAAAAAAATTGTTATCAAACAAGCGAAAATCTAAAATACCTGTACCTTCCTCACCATATACTTCTGAAAGACAAGAATCACCAGGCTCCTCCTCATCAGCTTATATTTCTGACCAGAATACACCAAATGAAACACGTGTGGGAGGACGAGGTTTATCTCCTGTATGGAAATATTTTCAGCGTCAAAAAACTAAATCAAATGGATATTATTCAGCAAAGTGTGATTATTGCTCAACTAAATGGTCAAGAGGTGAACCAGTAAAGCTTGAAGCTCATCTTGCGTTTGAGTGCTCTTATGCTGAAGAGCATGTTCGGCAATTTTATCTACTTCATGTAGCCTTTCATGATAACTTGGAAGAGCAATCTGAACATTCAAAATGACAAAAATTAAATAATCAGCATGGTCTTACAAAATTTTTTCCACAAAAAACTGGAGGTGGTTTGTCTGAAGAATGAATTAATGCCATAAATGTTGTATTATTAAAAGCTTTTGTGGTGTGCGGTATTTCATTTTCTGTAATTGAAAACCTATTTTTTATCGACTTGCTTCAAACTTTGTGCCCGGAATATCAACCACCATCAAGAGAAGTTTTAGTAGGATGATTATTGGACCAGGAGTACTCTAAAGTTGTAATTAAACGTGAGGCTATTTTTTGTGAATCAAATAATCTAACTATTGGTATGCTGTATTTAATTGTTAAATTATATTTTATTGCTTTTACTAAATTACTCTATATTCTTTATAGCATTGGATGGGTGAATGTCACCTAATGGAAACTCTATATATAGTTTTGTTATTTTAACACCAATGCACAATAAATTTTTATATTCATTACACAATTTTTCTACAAATTCACATACGGCTGAATTTCTTGCAGAGAAAATTGATACTGTTCTGAGTGAAATTGGATATGATAAAATTACAGCAATTGTTACAGACAATGCCAGTAATATGAAGCTTGCTCAACAAATTATTCATGAAAAACACCCAAAAATTTTAAACTTAAACTGTATTGCACATTGTATTAATCTTGTATCTAAAGATATACTTAGTAAGTATTAAAAAAATATGTTTGATTATTATAAAATTTTATAATCTATTCATTAATATATTATTTTTTTAGAGCATACATTTGCTTTACGTCTTATAAAAGGGTGCAATGAAATTATAAGATATTTCAAAAAATCATACCAGCCGAATGCATATTTGCAACAAGCAATTCATGAGTTAAATATTCCTGGTGGTGGATTAAGAAAATTTGTAGATACAAGGTGGACTTCGGCATATGAATGTACCTTATCCGTTAGCCAACTTGAATATGCACTTATTAAGGTAATATATTATTCTATTAATTAATGTATTTTATATTAATAAGTAACTAAGTATGTACCGTATATATTTTTATATAGATTATGAATGACAACACAAACTTAATTACAAATTGTACTGTTAAACAAATTTTAAGGCGACCATATTTTTTTCAGACCTTAAAATATTAATTAAAGTTTTATCTCCAATTCGAACTGCTATTATGAACCTAGAAGCTCAATCGACAACACTAGCAGATTGCTTTATACAATTCGTTAGTTTAGCAGCTGCCATTAAGAGACTTTCAAGTTTTCGAATTAATAATTTTAAAAATTACTGCATAGATATTTTTAACAAAAGATGGAACAGTTTTAATATGGACATTTATTTGTTGGATATTTTCTTCACCCAGGTTATCACGGTATGTTATATTTTTAGAGTTTAATAAATTATATATATTTAGCTAATATAATTTTTTATTTTGGTAGGTGTTGGATTACGTGAAAAGCAATTTCATAAAATTGCACAAATTGCAATCCAAATATGGAAATGCAAAGGATATGATTTAAATGAATGTGCAAATCTTATTGCATATATGCGATTGTTTAAAGAAAAAAAGGACGGATTTGACTTGCCTTATAGTTTTGAGAAAGATACTCCTTTGTTATGATAGATGACCAATTATACTGGTTCCAAATCTATTGGAAAACTTGCAATCAAGATTTTTCCAATTATACCACACTCTGCAGACTGTGAAAGAACATTTTCATCATTGGGCTGGATATATGGAAAACGGCAATGTCGACTTTCTTTATCACGAATTCAGGCAATGGCTCAAATTCGATCTTTTTATGTTTCAAATATAAAAAGAGAACTTGCATTTTTTGGTAAAACAGTATCAGCGAATGAATTACAAGAACAAGTAGCATCAGCAACTTTTTTAGTTGAAGAAGATGAATGAATAATTGAGGAACTTGAAGTAGAAGAAGAAGTTGAATGTAATTTAGAAATTATTAAACATTTTGACATTGAAAATATAGTATACTTAAATGATGAAATGTTTCGTGATAGTGATTCTGACAGTTATAGTGAAGATTTCCAAGATTATAGTGCTGAAGAATATGGTGACGATGAATTTGACTGTGATGAATTCGTTAGTAACAAAACAGGTCAAGGTATACTTGATTTTGATCCTGCAGAATTAGTGGAAAATTTAGTAAGAAAATGGAACTATGAAAACAATAGTAGTAGTATTGATAGCGATTTAGACAAAACAGATGATACAGACAAAAGTAGTAAGAATGTAAATGCTATAGAGAATGAAAATAATGAGGATGAAGACATTAGTGAGAGTTCAAATATTATAGAGAATGAAAATGAGATTGTAAAATCTTTACCTATAGCGCTTAGAAAAACATGTCGTAAAAGTTTAAAGAGATAATAATCGTAGAATCTTATTGTAACACTTGGAAAACATGTAAAAGTTTAAAAAAGATAATAATAAAGCAATACATTATCTTTTTATAGAACAATTTTTTTTATTTTTATGTATTTATAGTTTCATCAACAATTTCGTCAATCGTCAACGGTTTCGTCAATCGTCGATGATTTCGTCAATCGTCAAAGTTTCGTCTGGTATATAATTTGATGAAACCTTTTGTCAACTCAAAAATCATTTCGTCAAGCATCTTTAGTTTGAATCAATATTTTTTAACATTAATCAGTTTTTATTGCGGATCAAAAATGCGGTTGAAGATATGTCTGTATCTTTAATGTGAACAATAATTTATAACTCTATTATACTTCGTCAAAGACCAATTTCTTTAGTATCTGCCTAACCACTCCATCTATACATCTATATATTATTTATTCAGAAATAGTTGAATTCATTTCGATTCAGCAATTAGTATTAATGTACGAATTATCTCCGTTTGGTTTGTTTAACTTTTATAAGTGAATAATTCAAATTTCATTTATTCGAAATTTTTTTTTTGGTAAATTAGTGAACATTAAATCTTATGACAAATAAATATATCATTCGAAAAAAATAAAATATCCATTTTTCCAGAGTATATAGTAAAATAGTACTGTACGGATGCGCAAATTAGGAGGACGTTGTTACGAAAAATTTCGACAAATTTTTCGTACCTTGCATTTTCGCTATATAGTTTCTTTATCTCCCTGTGTAAAAGTAGTAAATCATGTAGCCACGATAGTAATAGCACGTGTACGGGTTCGAAACCCGGGATTAGGGTTTGAAACCTAGGATCCGGGTTTGGAACCCCAGATCTGGGTTCGGAACCCCAGATCTGGGTTCGAAACCCCAGATCCGGGTTTGAAACCCTTACATCAAAATGTATAAATAGGACGCTTGCTTAATAAATAAAAAAAAAACTTTTTCTTATTTGGCTCCAATAATAAATACAGTGGATACGTGACCTAACTCTTTCTTATTTTTTGACCCGATAATAAATATATAATAAGCACTGACCTTGCTTAATAAGTGACACGTGGTAACTAACTTGGACCTATACGTAACCTGAGGTGACCTAACCTGGACCCTACGTAACCTAATCGCAACCTATAACGACCCGACTTGGACCCAAATCAACCTGGGCCTGACCCGTGACGACCTCTGGCGAATATAGCCTTATTGAAGCAGCGATACTTACCCCAATCGATAATTATTACTACATACGGATCCGGACTGTACAACTTACCATCAGGATTTATGCTTACGGCGCTGGACTAAATTGGCCTGGACCCGTGGGTCGATAGCGTAGTGGTTAGCGCTCCCGGGTCACAATCGCAAGGTCGCGAGTTCAAGTTTACTGGGTGACGAACGGCTCTGCCAGGACCACGATTGGCTAAGATCTTCAGAGGATTTTCCATTAAAAAATGAACAAGATTCGTACAAGTTGCGTAATCCGTCAACAAACGACGCTAAAATTGAGAAAACCCAGCTTAAGGATTACTAGAATCAAGGATATCAGATATAAAAGGACGATCCGGCTTGTGGGTCATGTGAAGTTAGGGAACTGCGGATCTAGAGAACGTAGATCCTACACCGCGGCACCAGGGACCCGGGACGTCATATGACGTACTTAACGGAGCATGAGTTATCTCACCAGTACGGTGACACATAGGTGGCCAATTCGCCATACCGGTGATCTCCGCAGATACGAAAACTCTGGCCTTTGAGAGATGTGAGAGATCCGAAGGTGTCTAAGGACCTTTGAGATGCGGAGGGAGGTAAAAAAAAAAAAAAAAAGATTATATATAGTAACTATATAAAAATTTTATAGTTTTGTAATAATATATATTAAAATTTCATTAGCCAAAACAAACTGCAGATTATCAATACATTTTTTGATTAAAAAAATTAGCTTTTGATATTAGAATAAGGGTGAGCATTAAGATGATAGTAAAAAAACAGAGTATATAGCAAAATTTTGCAAGAATTTTTTTTTGCTAAGATATAAAAAAAAGCTAGCAGTTTGTTTTGTTTTTACATTATATCTGATTCTGTATTATAATTGGTTTAAAATTATATGTCTGTGGACATTTTATGTAGTTGCTATATATAATATTTAATTGGTGATTTGCCAGTCACCTGGTGCATAATCATAGTATAACATAATACAGATCACTATGTAAATTATATATACTTTGAATATGGCATTCGCCCAAAGAAAACTTTTTTTCGTATTAAGTTAATCACTCTTCTGTATTAAGTCAAAATTGTAGAGCTCATCAAAATGCATCTAATGGTTCAAATTAGCCTAGCCAATAGCAAGATATCATTGAAAAACAATTGCCTGACTATGTAAAATTTTTATATAAGCAATAGTTTGTTTACATAGAATTTTATATAGTTAGCTAATTGTTTTTCAACAATATCTTGCTATCAGCTATGCCAATTTGGATAATCTAACCACTATTAGATATGTCTCGACGAGCTCTACAATTTTAACTTAATACAGAAGAGCAATTAACTTAGTATGAAAAAAGTTTTTCTTGAGCAAACACCACATTCAGAGTATATGTGATTTACATAGTGATCTGCATCATATTACACTATGATCATGTACTAGATGACTGGCAAATCACCAATTAAAGCAAAGTGTATTAAAATTACTCTCTTGATACAGTTAGGGTTATATTTTGATATAGTAATGATTAATAATTTATATAAATAACAGTCAACCAATTTGTTATATATTTTATATATATAGTGTTTTTTATATATAAAATTATAGTAAAAATATAAAGAATTACATATAAACTTTGTTGCAATGATGTTTTTTTGTTTATATATGGTGCAGAAAGTCTTAACTAGCTATTGTTTCAATTTTCTATATGTAGTGTAATCTAAATTAGCCAATCAGATTGCTAGAATAGATAATACAACTCAAATTAAAAATTTTTTAAAAAATTTTATTTTTTTAAGCTAAATTTTGATTGGTCAAAAAAATTTTAATAATAAAAATCTAAGTTTTTGATTGGT